GCGGCGGCGGCGGCGGCGGCGGCGGCTCCCGCGGCCAGGGCGGCTGCGACCTGCGGACCCCGCCCGGCAGGCGGGCCCTGCTCTGCCCTGCGCTGCTCTGCCCTGCCCTGCGCTGCTCTGCCCTGCGCTGCCCTGCTCTGCCCTGCGCTGCTCTGCCCTGCCCTGCGCTGCTCTGCCCTGCGCTGCCCTGCGCTGCCCTGCGCTGCTCTGCCCTGCTCTGCCCTGCGCTGCCCTGCGCTGCGCTGCCCTGCGCTGCCCTGCGCCGCCCCGCCTGCCGTCGTGGCGGGCAGAGCGGCAAGGCGGTGCCTCCGCGCCCTTTTCGGGACGTTTTTTTGCGTTTCCCCCCGTTCCCCGCCGTCCTGAGGCCGCCGTGGCGCGGCGGCGGCAGGCGGAGCCTTCCCGCGCACGTTGCCGCGCTCAGGGGCGCAGCCCGGTGCCTCGTGCCGGGCGGGGTCCCGTCGGGGCCGCACGCCCGGGGAAGAACCGCCGGTTAAGACGGGATTAATGAAATGGGCGGGATGGGGGCACAGGGGAGTGTGCGGCCAAGGCGTCGCCGTGAGGGTCACAGCCTCTGGCAAACCCTTCTCCTCCTTACCACAAATTCACACCCTTGTGTTTGGAGCTCTCTGTGGACCCTCTTCCACGTCCACTTTTACTTTTGCTTCTTTATTTTTTTTTTATTATTTTATCATTTAGTGAGTCTTTTTAAAATGTTTTAATGACTTTACTTCTTTCTTTCCATTTTCTCATCCATCTGTTTTTTATTTCCCCCTCTGTCCTGCTCCCTCTCCCATCTGCTGCTGCTGCTGCTGCCTCTCCCTATCTTTCCTCAGGTTTGCAGATCCTATGACAGGAGCTTTAGAAGCTGCCCCGTACCAGGTGAGAAACTGTCTCGGATGAAAAGGGCCCCTTTTGACTGCTTTGGGAAGTCTGTTAACAGTAAGTCATTAAAAAGATCCCTTTGCTGCCTTTGTAATTTGTCCCTGTGGATTGTGTTTCTTTGCTGCAACAAGTGTTTCATTCCTAATGAAACAGTGGAAAACCAGTGGTGAAAACCACGACGAATGCAGTGCCCTCCACCAATGCTGAGRGGTTGATGTGTGAGAGAAGGGAAGGGGAGGCAGAAAGTGGGTTCTTTAACTTCAGCACAGCCCTTATATAAATAATACTATACATTTTTCTTTTGTTTTAAGAAACATGCACTGCCCTTAGCCCATGGCAGAGCCCATCTRCCCGGGTGCACCGTGCTCTTGGCTTTCGTACGCCTGCTCTGATCCAGATTACATCAATGGAAGTAGAGAAAGTAGATCAAAAGCAACAGGTATCAGTTTACACAACACACATTTAAACGTATTTCTTTGCCTAGTAAATGGACTGTCTACTTTATCCATTTTCCCTTAAAGCCACAAGCAGGAAACAGTATCTGGCACCTGTTTAAAGCTCGTTTAGATGCACTATGATTTCTCACTAATAAGGATTTTATTACACAAAACTAATAAGCACTCATAATCGTACTGACTTTTAATATCATGTATTTCAGAACTATCGTGCAAATGTACTGCTTATTAAGCTTACTGATTTGGAGCATGGGGTAGCTTTGTGAGTCTGTCTGCTTTGTGCTTGTGTGCAGAAGACTACAGGAATTCTTGTAACAGAGCAGATTAACAGCCTATCAAGTTCTTTTATTCTTTCCCTGGTATACCCTCTATCTCATGATGTAGAGCAGTTTTCAAATCAGTATTTTGCTACAGGAGGAGATGTTTTTGATTCCAGTTATATTYATCATCTCTTTCAGCTCATGGAAGATTTACTCCTTTGATGACTTCAGAAGTGATTTTTATATATCAATATTTTAGCCTATGTGTAAATTGAGAGGAATCCTGTTATTTTATCTGTGTCCTTTGCATTTCACATATTTGGCATATTTCACATACCCTTTTTCCACYATCAAATATAGGACAATTTTGTTTTGCATAGGTAGGGAAGACATTATATGGCTCTGTAGCTAATGATTAGATAGTATAGATTTTCAATACTGTGTGCCACTACAGGTTACCTTAAGTTGAAGATAAAACATTTGTGTGAGTTGCATTTCTGCTAAGAGAAAGTTTTGATTTCTGAAGACAGTTTGTCATTACTTGAATAGATATTTAAAATTCATTTGTCTTTGTCATTCTTGACATTTGATAGGGGAACAGAGGGACGCTTGTGGTGTTGAAATGTCACTGTACCRCAAAGCCATCTTCTGAAAGGTGTAGGGGCAATTTCTAAAGGTTTTCACACAGAAATAATGTGATGGAATGCAGCTTGTATTTGGATTTTTTTTTTATGATTCTTTCTATGTCTTCATATACATTTTTACCCTGTCAGAAGGAGGGTAGAGTGAGCTATCTCTGCCTATATAAATGCATTGCATTAATTCTTGCTGGAGTTACATGGACAAAGCTGTGACTGCCATGGGGCCAGAGACACAGGCCAGCTGCGCTCCTGCACTCTCTTCCAGCTTTAATGGTCGGTGTTACCCTGTGTAGGTTAAAAAAGGTAGGAAAAAGAAACAGTCCGAGACAAGATTATCTAAATAAAATTAGTCTGAAAMAAAGCCTGGTAGAAGTGAGGTCAGGTTTTAAACCCAACAATCATAAACTGAACTCCTCTTGCTTAGATAAAAGTAAAAATCATTGAGATTATGCAATTCACTGAAACAATTCTTTTTGTCCTTCCAGGTGTTAGGATGCTTCAAGTCCCGCGTCTTCAAGCTTTTCTTAAATAGCACATCTAGAGACGTCCATGCTTAAGCAGCAAAAGATGGTGGGCTCTGTCCCCGGGAAGCACCAACTGTAGTGCAGGGAAGGAGCATGTTGCAGGGGCGCCTCTCAAAGCTCCGGTGATGCTGGGTAGCAGGGGGAGCCCTTTTGGGGGGTTCAAGCAAGCAGAAGGCTCCGAGTCCGTCACTAAGGGCAGAGCTTGGAACCGGCACTGGGTAGGAAGAGGAGGAGGAGGAAGAGGAAGGCGGCGCCCGGCCAGGGCGCGGTCTGTCCCGGCGCAGAGCAGCCACCATGGAGCGGCGGGTGGCGCGGGAGTTCAGGCACAAGGTAAGGGCTCTGACCCCCAAAAGGGGAGGGAGAGGCGAAACCCGTCATCATGAGGGCTTTGCGTTCAGGGCTTGGTGTGGTGTCCTCTCCCCTGCACCCCCCAAATACTGACCATATCAGAAGCTGTTGTGGTGCTGGTGAGGTGGCGGCTGCAGCGCTGCACGGTAGCAGCTGGGGCTCAGGAGAGCTCAGAGCTGCCTCTAACTTTCTGCGACGACGGCCGTTTGTGCAAGTGCAGCCGAGTGCAAGAGCGCCCGATGAGCCGAGGGAGCCGCTCGTTCCGCACCGAGGGAGCCGCTCAGAGCCGCTCGTTCCGCCCGCGCCGCGTTCTGTCCTTTACCCAGGCAAATAAACGCTTGGCAGAGCTCAGCCTTGCACGAGCAGAATGAGCTCAAAGAGCACTTCTCAAGGAAAGGAGCAGGCAGAAAGAAATGTGCATACAGCYAAGGGACACTTTTCTATAGGAGTTGATGACAAAGTTTTTAGTTTTTTTCCTTTTTTTTTTTTTTCTGCAAGTAAATGGAGTTACTCCGAGCTCGTTCTAGAAAAGACGGTAGTGTAGTCCTGTGTTTTATAACAGTTAGACATGAATAAAATCTTTAAAAGTAATAAAATCTTTAGGTATACCTAAAAACTTGTTAGAATGAAGTAGAGGGGCTGCCAGGAACCGCCTATGTACAAACTGAAGTACAAAAACTTTAAGGACCTGGGTCTGTGTATTGGTGACTACAGCTATCAAGTTAGTTATTTCTGCCTTGCTGCTTATTATTATATAACTCAGCAGTGAGTTGTGCAACAGGTCTATGAAGTCTGGGCAAATGGTTCCCATCCTGAACCTTAAACCTTCTTCCTTTTCTTCTCTGCTGTAATTCATRAACTGCTAGTCCCACCCAGCTGACCCAGGAAGCTTATCGTCAGTATTGCTTGGGGAAAGTAAATGCCRTGCATGAAAATGGGGTATCTAACTAAGTATTAAAGCAGGTATTTTTCTTTGAATTTTCTTGTTTCAGCATTTCAGCGTGCTTTTAGTGGCCACTCTAGCATTTTAATACCTTGTTCACTTGCTCTAGCCGTGTCAAAACTGAAAATAGGCAGCCACAGGATCCAAGTTTCATGTTAGTTGTTTGCCATTCCCTTGTAATAACAATTTGCTGTTGTCTTTTTAATCATTTCTCCTTATCAAGCAAACAGGAATCCTAGAGATAAATTATTCACAAGTACATAGGCCAGTTCCTTCATTTCCTCAAATAGTTTTTCAAGGCCTGGCAGTTCAAGTACAGCTTTAAACTGATTTTTGAAAGCTGGCARATTGAGCTACTGCTGCTGTAGTGCATCACTGTAATAAGCATTTTTAGTGTGGAAAATTCCATATTTTTCTCAATTTTTATTCTACAGAATAACCTGATATTGACCTCTTGCAGAATTTTTGGTGTCTAGGTGTATTTTTTGTGATGATTTCTTATTAACTGAAATGGACAAAACCATATGTGATATATTTAGTAAGAAACAGAGCATAAGTAACTTCTTAATATGTGTAGTCTAGGTCTGAGTCATACAACAACAACAAAGTCTATGTTGCACAACTACTATACTGTCGCTTAAATAAAGAATATACACTACATCAACAGTAAGAAAATCCATATTATTAAAGGAAGTGTCCGCAGGTGTTTATTGCAGCTGTTTATCATAGAGTTTCTGTATCTGCTACAAGATAACAGTTTTATAAGCTGTGTAATCATGTGGGTTTTGACGTTTCATATAGGAGACGACAAATACAGTGCCAGTGCCTTATGGTAAACGATCAAGACATGCTCATTTTGTCAAGACTCCTCAGAACTGATTGATGTTTCAGCTGATAGATACTGCTGTGTTTTAGAAAGGGCAGATGTCCTGCTCTTCACTTCTCCCTGTTTGGCGCTTCAGGTTAAATGGTGCATGGGTTGAAGCTCACTGAGGAAGCAGAAAATCAATGTATGCTATGTAGTACCAGATCCAGTCAGGGTGTAAATTACGTGGAATGAAGGAAGAAGCATGGTCTGTCATAGTTGTCCAGCCTGGCGAAGATGTTTCTGAAAATGAAAGGTTAAATTTAACAGACCTCCTATGTAAAATAGTCAAATATTGGAAAGGAAGTCTGCCCTAATTTTGGGTAGAATTTCAGTTCAATTTAGTTAAAGCTTGTCACTTCTCTATAGCCTTGGAGAAAGAATGCAATTAAGTGTCTTCTGAAGATGTTTTGGATGAATCAAATCAAATGGAAGTGTCTGCCTTAATCCATTGACTATGAAGATGACACAGTTGCAATCTTTAAAATATTTGTCTAACCTACAGAGAAGAAAAAGATAGGTGAGATGAACCCCTCCTCTTCTGTCTAGAAATGCAGTATACATGGGGTGGATTCTCTGCCACTTACACTTATTGATATCAGAATGGGATAATTTTCTAGAAGGGACGGTGCAGTTCAGTCGGAAGCTGTGGGCTTGGTATATAAATCMACAAAACTTGTGTGGCAGTTTGTTATAAACGAGTAGAATAGACTCTCTGCGGTTTATGAGCAGTGAAATTTCTATCCCAACCCCTCACAATTAGATTTCTCGAACTAGAGAGATACTAAGGAATTTCATTAGTCCAAGTAACATGTTGCCACTCACTTATTTTCTTAACATATTAGGACATGATCTTTTGATATTTCAGTAGACTCAGTTTTTAGATGTCATTCATGAACTTGGGTAAAGTGTGTACCTAAATTAAGTCTGTTTCAAGGAGTTCATTATTTAGAAAAATGATAAGACATGGTAGGTGGCTACAATAAAGTGATAACTGGTGAATTAGGAGGCAGCAAGGGAATGAGAAAGAAGAAACAACTATTGTATTTGGTTTCGTATTTATCACCTAAAACTGTATCCGTGTCTGACGTTGGAGAACCAGTCAGTTATGAAAGCAAATATATTATATCCTTTTCAGGAAGACTTTCTTTTCGGTGTTTTAAAATTTGCTGTAAACAAATTAGTTTACTGGTAAAGCAATCTTCAGTAGGATTCAAGCAGTCTTATCCTGTGTGTGATTTTGTAGCTTTTAATTGTTTTGAAAGTGATCTCTTAAATAGTATATAGATAATAGAAAATCACTTGGATAAACAGAGCCTGGCTAACTTTAGAGAGCAGAAAGGGTTGAAGAGAATATGAAACATTTATTTAGCTTGCAATATAATACAAACTGGTGCAAATCTAGAAAGAGAGGACTTTCTTTAAGTATGCAAATTGGTCTTCAGGCTGCATGTCACAGTAATATTACCCCTTGGGTCAGATGCAAATTGTTTTCCTAAACACCAGTCTTGTCTAAAAGTAAAATTGTTGTGGTATGAACTCTTAATACAAGTAAGATCAGTGGGGATCTCACTGCTGTCACTGAATAGAAGCTGAGCTTCTCATATCAAATTTCTCTATTTTCTTAAGATTTATTTTACTGTAATTGTCCAAGAGCAGGCGCTGTAATGTGACACTGGTTTAAGTAAATGTACTATTACTAAGGAAGGAAAGAATAACTAGCAAGTTCTATCCCTTCAGAGCTGCAGCCAAGAGGAACAGTAGGTAGAAGTTTGCATAATGTTTAAGTGAGATGCTGGTATCAGTGGTTTGGAGCAACGGGACATAGATAAGAACGTAGCACTGCTATATTTATAATCTCTGACAGCATGTGCTATGTTAATGAATGGCCGAAAAGATTTCTTAAAACATTTATTCAACAGTACAGTGATTATCAGGTAAGGCAAATGTGATATAATTGTAATGGTATTGCTCTACCAAGAGGAAATCTAGCATACGGAGTGTGTAATTTCAGTATTTATTGCCCTCTCCACTACTGCAATGTTAATTTTAGAAAGTCTTGTTAATATACGTATTTATCTTGCAAAAGCTGTGTTTTGTTTTGGTTTTAAATTATTTCCCTATTGAAATCCTGGCTCCGTGGCTTAGGAATTTTGTCAACATCTTTTCATGTTCAGTGTGTTCAAATTAAAATAGAGACTCTTGATTTTCAGGTTAATCTTCTAATTGACAATGAAGCTGAGAAGGATTACCTTTATGATGTGCTCCGGATGTACCACCAGTAAGATACAGCTTTATATATGTTTGTGTTTAATTTCACCAGTGTTTTTAAATTTAAAGAATGAACATTCAATATTTTATTTATGTAGTCTTTCTGAATGCTATCTAGATAATGATTTATAATTCTGTTTAACAAAATCTTACATTTTTACAGTGTAGCCTACTGGCAGAAAAGAAGCATTACTGTAGCTAATATTAAAACTTTGTTTTAAACTTTAATATTTGTTGGGGAAAAAATAGGTGGTAAGTTGCATTTAGGAAGAGAATATTGATCAGATTCATTGATATTTTCAAAAATGCATATTTATTTTGATCAGAAGCTTCTACCGAGTTTGCATTTTAAAGATTTTTTTAAACTATTCAGATTAAGAATGAGTTTCAACTGTTTTATCTGGAAGATGGAAAAGATGAAGTTGGGAATCTGTCTAGCATGTTTAACAATTTTGATTTATTGAGAAGTAAAGAAAAGAAAAAAATTGTAAGTTGATATGCCAGTTACCAGCTCTTTTACTGAATTGATTTAAACGTGGTTGCTTAGGACTTATATCCGGGCAAATGAGCTCATCATCTGATCCATTGTTTCTCGAAGAATGTGAGAATGTGCTTTCCACTCATCACAGGCAACTGGCTCTGGTAGACCTTGTTTCCATTCATATCTTAATCAAATAGCATCTCCACTGAGTGAAATGTAGATGTTTCCATGCAGTGTTTGTACTGAGCTCTCATTTTTGGGTGTATTCAGCTGCATATCTGATTCCGTTTCAGTTCATCAGTTCAGAGTCCATCTAATTGCTTCTCCATTCATAATGCCTGTTGTTTGGAAAGCAGGTTGACTTGGTAGCTCTTAATAATTTAAAATCTTCTGGCAGTTACCAAGTTAACAATGCATATAGTAACTTCTCCTCAATTTCCAGACCTGCAGTAACTTGTGTTCTGAGCAAAGCTTTGTATATTGTTGTGAAATTAATATTGACTTTTTTAAATTAGAAAGCATTTCAAGGACAAAAATATGTAACTGTAATTGCTATCGTAGTTAACATTTAGTATTTGCTTTGTTGTGAATAGCATTTGCAAATTAAAATATTTGTTCTCTAGTTTCGTGTAATAGCTGCTCGTGGTCTGTATTTTCAGTACATATGTTTCAGAACGTTTTAGGCCAGGAAAACTAAATGGTAGGAGAGAACAGCAGATACCATAGGTTAAGCTTAACCAGAATGAAATCAAAGTTTCCTTCTGTAAAGATGTGATTTATGTGACTGTTAAAAGTAAGATATAGGAGACCTGACATATTTTTAAGGATGTGGTTACTTTTTTGCTTACAGAAGTTTTAGTTTTGCAAAGGCTATTTTGCTTTGGTTTAACCAAGAGATACATAAATAACTTGATAGCTGAAGGGATGCACAGAATATATCATTTAAGTCATATTTAGCGCAAGTTATTATTTAATAATTTGTGTTGGCATGTTAATTAGCTGAGCCTTTTTTCTTAATGTACTCTTGCAGATCTATGAATCTCCCGGTGCTGGTGGGGGACCTAAAGCTGGTGATCAATGAACCAAGCAGACTGCCTCTCTTTGATGCTATCCGCCCCCTCATCCCCTTGAAACACCAGGTGGAGTATGATCAGCTTACACCCAAGAGATCACGGTAAGGGGGTGCATAACCACATAGCTAACTGCACATAAACACTGAAGAAATGATTATTCTTCAAATAAGTTCTGAGCAAAATGCTTGTCACCTTTATAGAGTGGGGCACATGTTTTGGCGTATGTTTTAACTGCTAGAAGCATGATTTTCAGCTACCTGAAATTGTTTGCCATATAATTTAGTTTAGTGAAAGAAGGGTATGGGAATCCAAAAGAAATGCTCCCTATTTGAAGCTTTTTTCCCCTCATTTTTCCTGCACTTAATAAATTTTCTTAGCACTCTAGAAGCATACACAGCTCCAACAGGAGCAGACATCTTTCCTTACTTCAAACAAACCAAAGTTCAAGGTTTTATCATCCATTAAAACTTTAGTCAACTTGGTCTTGTGATGAGAGACAAGTAATCCATAGGTTTTGTATAAAGCATTTCTGCCACAAAGTGTTATACAGCTGAATGGCCAGATGTTTTCTAACTTTGCAGAAAGCTGAAAGAGGTAAGATTGGATCGTTTGCACCCTGAAGGACTTGGAATAAGTGTGAGAGGTGGTGCGGAATTTAGCTGTGGCCTTTTTATCTCCCAATTAATTAAAGGAGGACAAGCTGACAATGTTGGTCTTCAGGTAAGAAAAATGATATTCATGGTGACTGTGCTGCCAAAAAAAAAAAAAAAAAAAAAAAAAGAAAGATAACAATATAGTAATTATCTTTAATACCAGCATGAATTAAGTGGATGTTGGTTGTTTTTGTATTTACCACTATCATTATAATGACCTGTTTCATGATTGAGGTATGATAATTTTTGAATATGAAAGGGCTTTTTGGAGCATTTATACTTCGTGTGTAGGAACAATAAAGTGTAAGAAGATGCGACAGAAGATCTTTTCTAACTAGATGTGAAAGAAAGTTTCAAACTACCAAGTTACTAGAAATGTTAATTCTACTTTGCACTGATATCATTTGTGTAATGAGATATCAAGATAGACTTCTGCAAAGATATATATTTTTTATCCTCTGTAAGTGCATGAAAGTAATAATCCAGGTTTAACCATTTTCAGTGTTCTAAGGAAAAAAAAACAAAGATCAATCATTTATATTGCTTTTGAAAACTGCCCCTGGAAAATACTGGAAGGCATTGACAGGGCTGAGCAACAGAAGGTTTAATGGCCAGTCTCTTAAGCTGTCATGCTACTACATTCATCTTAATGCTGTGTTGCTGCTCGGTTTGTCTCGGAGCGCTGTGTTGACACAATCAATAGATGCTGAATTTACACTCAGATATTGTGCTGCTGCATGAATGTCAATATTGTTTTTTTCTGGTTGCAAGTGAGAGATGCTGGTAGCTTTTCCCCACAACTGTGACCATCGTGTTCTGTGTTGGTGGGTGATAATGAATGAAATTGCATGGGATCTTTGAGCAAGTTGGTATGAATTGTACAGCAACTCAGAACTTCACTATGATGAAGTAGGGGCAAAAGATGAAGATGAAGTAGGGACAAAAAAAAAAAAGGAAGCTCCTAGAGACTCCAACCAGGAATATGTTATGGTTGGATTATATGCATTAATATGAACAAATGGAATGTTGGAGTGAATCTACCCCTCTGTCTTCAATTTGTTTAAATGTGGTGTTAGAGATGAGCTTAAAGTGCCTTCATAATAGGTGGCCATGGACACTTTTCTAAAACCAACTGAATAACAAGCATTGACAGGCAGTCCATTGTTCCAGATTGCTGTCTCACAGCAAAGCCAACTGCTTCTGAAATTTCATCCACCTGCTTTATTTAACTAAATCTCTACACATATTCCAGCTGGAAAATGATGTCTGAGAAAGGAATGATCTTCTATTATAAAACTGGTTTTATGTCCTGCCCACCATTTTTTTTTTCTCAGTTCTAATGCACTTTACATGATGATTTTTCCTTGAGGTAATTTCCAAGTCAGTTAAAATGGCTGAATAATCATGGAACTTTGCTAAGGCACTTTGTAGTTTTGACCTTTCTTTTTACAATTTTCTAAAAGGCAGGTATTTGCTCCTTTCATGCAGGAGCATATTTCATTTTTTTCCCCTTTCCCTCCCCTGCCCCCAACTCCTGATTTCTCAGATACTTTTATTCTTTTTGTGTTCTCTTGACTACAAAGTGTTTGAGTATTAGTATGAATGATGAAAGTAGAATTATACAAAACGAGAATTTTGAAACAGTGATGTGATTATTTAAAACCTTTCAACATCATGAGAACACTAAATACTATATTTCTTATGTTAGAGGTCATGGATAATGGTCGTTAGACTTGGGAAAATCTCTTTTTGCAGCTTTTCTTATAAAAATCTGTCAGCTTCCTGTTAGGGAAAGTGGAAACATCATGCAAATCAAAGTAATTTTGACTCTTGTACTCTTCTCAGTCTTGCAGACTTTTCTCTGCTGCTTCTAATTCAGAAGGTCAGTATACAGCACATCATATACAAAAGCAACAGTAGCAATAAAAACGGCTATTACTGTATAGACACTTTTTTGAGAGAAAAGTAACTCTTCTGATCAGAAGCAGTTTGTAATACATGTATGATGTCTCCTGTAGTTTTAGTCTAGAGCAGAATTTGTCTCAGCCACTGTTGAGCAAATGTCATCACTGAGTGACAGRAATGTTACCAGAACGAGTGGAGAGTGGCAGGTTGCCCTTTCATTTCTGAACTGCAGCAAAGATGAACAGTGAAATTCTTTGCACAGGAAATTAATTTCTCCCTTTGGGAGAAAAAAAATATGCTGTTGGATGTCTTTATAATTTAACTGTGTGCCTGTTAGGAAGATAATACAGTTCCATAGCTACTCTGGCAAGTAATGACATCCATCCAGCGACATGAATTTTACTGATGTAAAAGCTGTGTGAAGACTGATAAATGGCAATGCCATTTGCAGACTTAAAGCTGTGATGATTCTCGTTGCACTGCAGTTAATCATGGTAGGTTAAGCTGCCCTCTGAAAAAGCTGGGTTTATGCAAACCGAGGCCTACAGGTCCATTCTAGTTTGCGTGGTTCTCAAGATGACATTGAAGGAGGGATCTTAAATTCAGCCTTTTTTATTTTTGGTCTTCTAATTCTGTGTTTCTGTCATAGGCAGCATTTTCAAAAGCCCTTGATACTGACCTACCTCTGCTGTTATTGACAATCATATTAAAAATCTGACAGGCATGAACAAAAGCAACATTAAGCTCTTAGGAGTGTTGAGAAATGCATGCAGCAGTGAGAATTTGGGGTGTCCAGAACACCAGCAGATGGAGCAGTCCCACGCATTTGCAGAAATGGACAATGCTCCTGTTCTGTCTCTACAATTCTTTTTTTTTTTCTCTCCAAGAGATTCATGATTTCTCCCATTCCATTGCATTTTTCACTTTGTAGTCTTATGATGCTGTTTTGTGTCTGTTAAAAATCTTTGTAAGGGCAGTGCAGAGAATGGAGCTACATGAAGGATGCTGGTAGAATGGACATGTTCATGTTTCACATACCATTATGAGGCTATGGTGCTCCCCAGAAAATACAGAGGAGACTTTTTCTTTTCAGATGAACAGATCACAGTGGGAASATATATGAAGAACAGTGACAGTAGTCAGCAGCGTGTCCTACTGTTCCCTTCCCCAGAGAGAGACCTGCCACAGGCTGTGTTCATGTGATGGTCCCTAAGACAGAGGCCACACGGAGGTGTCACTGCCTCCAGTTCCACTTTCTTCTCTATGGGGCAATGTGAATTTGGGCTTGCACTGATGAGCTGAGTGGTGCTGGAGGAGAAGCCTTAGCTGTCTAAGGTGGCTGGAGCTCAGTGAACTAGGCCTCTCAAGACACATTGCATAGCTTGCTCTGATGGCCCCACTAAATCTCTCAGTATAAGTGAGACTGGTGGTGTTACCCTGTGATCTTCCAGTAACAGAAAAAAATAAGGAATATCTCAGTGAGACTGGAATAATCTGGCTTACTAGGAGAAAAAAAAGTATGTATTGCCTTAAGCAYTGCCTTAAAGATGACACTGTATTGTGTAATTACTACAATGAAGTCTCTCATTATGTAAGCATGTGCTAGCATTCCCACAATGGCATTTCCCTACTTAAGAATGAATGATACTTCTTGTCCTTTTGTTTCCCTTAAGACTCTTTTGCCCACAGCACTTGAGAAGAGCTGACTTCTCCTCAGCTATTTCACAGCAGCAGTTTAAAGTGTTCACAAATCATCTTTTAACTTTGTTGAAACTTAAAAGCAGCCTGAGAAAGATATCTGCAGCAGGGGTCAGACTAGATGATCTCTAGAGGTCCCTTCCTCAACCTCAACCATCCTGTGGTTCTGTGAATGTTGAGGCCAGAACAACTGAAATTGGGCAGCTTGAAACTGCATTTTTAAGTGGAAAGTGTTAGCCAGTCATTAACTAGAAGCAGCACTGCCATGGAAGCCTCATGCCTACACAGGCTCATTTGGAAGGAGGCTTCGAAGTTTCTTTGATTAAGAACCTAATCTTGTTCTGTTGTTGCTAATGAGAAAAGATCTGTCAACTGTCAGAGAAGCATTTTGATCCATTTTGCACATTATGTGTTCACAAGGATTAGTATTCAGTAGTTTACAAGAAAAATTACTGAAGAGCAGTGAAGCCCTGGGTAGAGATCAAAGTACAGTGGTATAAGCGGATGTCACTGATGGTTTCTTTTCAAAGCCATTTTTTTGGTAATCATTTATATATCCTTCTGTGCAGAGAGTTAATTTGCATTGCCTAGTGGCAGAGAGGACATACMAGTGTCGCTACAGTCATGTCACTGGGTTATTCATTATAGATAAAGCTCTGCTTATACTGCTCTAGCCAAGGGTCCAGCATTTTTCAATATCATCTTGAATAACTAATAAAATACAACTGCAAATGAATAGGTAGTTTCTCCATCACTGTTTCTTTCTTGGGTTGACGAGCTAAAATGATCGTTAGATATAGCTCAGAGAAACCAGATTTCTAACCTAGATGTTGCATCACCTCTAWTTCCGAACTTGCATTTAAATTAGAGAAAAGGATGCCTTTTGTAATAGAAAAGCATTTAAATGATATATTTCTAATTTATCACAAAATAAATATTAGCTGGATTACTTCTATGCCTATTCTGATAAATGGGGTTTTAATTAAAAAAAAAATAAAGCCAAAAAAAAAAAAAAAAAAAAAAGCTCTATTCTACACTGGTAAAATGCACAGTGCCAGTGAATATTCTTGGAGTGCTGCCATTTTCTTGTCCTCTGACAAAGTTGTTGTGATCCCTGAGACAGTTTTGATCTGTGACAGCCAGCACTTCCAGTCAATTCCTACAGATGGGAAAGTATCAGCGGGAAGAGGCTGTTTCTAGTGGGGAGGCCCCCCAAGTATCTCAGATGAACACACATTAAAAGCTCAAGCTAAGTATAATAACAAAAAATGACTCCAAAGGGATCTGAATCCAAGTACTCACATGTCTATGAAATCATTATTRTAGTCATTAATATACCCTGTTGGTGCTGAGTATAAAGTTCAAACAACTTCTCGACTAGACTTCATCTGAAATTTGGATATATTCAGCACTCATTCAGCACATATCAATCCTTTGCATCAAACTTATTGCTATATTATATCATTTTTTTTTACATTAACATTTTTTCCTTCTACACTTCATTTTGGAGGTTGGAGATGAAATAGTTCGTATAAATGGATATTCCATCTCCTCCTGCACACACGAGGAAGTGATAAATCTCATCCGCACAAAGAAAATAGTGTCCATAAAAGTAAGACGTAAGTAACCTCAGAAATCACCTGTATTGCTAAAGGTTGTGGTTAACATGAGGATAATGATCTGTACAAAGTGTTGCTTAACACAGTATTTTTCTTTTTCAGATGTTGGCATGATACCTGTCAAAAGGTAAATTAAACAATTGTATCTACAAATTACTTAGATGAACCAATTTCTCTTTCTTCATTATAGCTTGTTACCTGGAATGCCACTATCCTTGCATCTAACTTGAGAGCTGCAGYGCTTCTGCAAGAATGTAACATTTAAGGATTGAGAAACACCAGTGCCTAGAAAAACCTCAAATTACTGTTCATGTCTTTTTCTAACTGTTGTTGAGAAGTTAGCTCTTTATTATAAACTTCATTGCCTTATGAATGGTATTGATAGGGACGTCTCTGTATTGACAATCACGTAAACTGTTTAAGTTTTGTTGGTTTTTTTTTTGTCTGGAGTTTCCCAAAGTTGTTTCATTTGTTTAATGTTTATTTAAAAATTTTGTTTAATTTGGGTGTGTTTAATTTTATGTCGATCAACTTTACTAGTGTAAATCACTGCATGCTTACTTGATGTTTTATTTAAATAGCTGCAAAATATACCATGTGTTGTGCATGCTGTCCAAATGAACCTCTGGATGCAAAAAAGGAGACTGCATTACAAATTAACTATTTGAATACATTTATATTTTTTTTCTTGCCATTATTTTTAATCACTCTTTCCTTCTAGCTCAGCAGATGAACCTCTTAAATGGCAATATGTGGACCAGTTTGTGTCGGACTCTGGGGTAAGGGATCAATATTTGGCTAAGATGTCTTCTGGGGAAATATGTAATGATTACAGAAGTTACTGTTTTTTTTTTAAGGGTGTAAAGTCTTGTTAGAAGTGTTCTAGAAGAAACATCTTCTGTGATACGAAGTAAATCTAGAGTCACTAGATATGGCAAGTGCGTTATACGAATGGAGTATCTTCTAATAGTTTGTTTGACATTATTAACTTAGTGTGACGTTTGTTTTATTATAGTAATCTCTTAATAGTTTATTTGACTTATTTCTAATCCCCCTACAGGAAGGAAAGGGCAGTGTTGCTGGTCTTGCTTCATCTGGAGGGAGAAACAGTAAAGAGAAGAAAGTCTTCATTAGCCTGATCGGTACAAAAGGCATGGGATGCAGGTGGGTAGATGATTCTTGTTTAACATCCTTTGTGAAGCACCTCGCTGATGTGAGGGAGTCATRTTTGCTTATTTTTGTTTGTTTTTACATCAGTATTTCCAGTGGCCCAACACAAAAACCAGGCATTTTTATCAGCAATGTGAAGCCAGATTCTCTTTCAGCAGAGGTGGGCTTAGAGGTAAGTATGCTGGTTTGCAAGGTAGGTACCTCAGGACGATCTTATTTTACTCCTTAAAAAGTTTTTGATCAGCATAAAGTCACTAGTTTTGATTTGTTCACAGGAAAGAAATACTGAGGCAAGTTCCCTAAGTTTTAAGAACTTAAAAAGCACCCTCCTAGGTCAGAACAACAGTTCATCCAGCTCAATATTTTGCCTCAAAGGCAATGAAAATGCTAACAAGCCTTGCTAATTTTCACGGTCCATTCCTCTCATAATCACTCAGTATCCATGATTATATTACAAATATCACAGGCTGTACTTCTCTAAAATTCCCTTTAGCATCTGAACTAAAATGTGGATTAATTTCTTTAGGTTGGTGATCAAATTGTAGAGGTAAATGGAGTGGATTTTTCTAATGTGGATCATAAAGAGGTAAGATTAAGACTTGAAAAACTAGTAGTCCGCTTTGGTTCAATTCTTTTGCAAAAATAGTTAGTTAGTTGTTAGCCAAAGGGGTTGTGTGGTGAACATGGGGATGTGGGAATCTGAATACCTATCCACCTTTTAGTTTAAATTGGTCGCCTTGAACTTTCAGCTTTAAATACCAACACCCTGTATATACAAGACTGTTATCACTACATGCAAACTTTTTTTGTTTTGTTTAATTTGCAGGCTGTCAGAGTGCTAAAAAGCAGTCATACCTTGACTATCTCTGTTGTCGCGGGAGCTGTAAGTAGTAAACGTATAAAAGAAAAAAAAGTCTTTAAAGCTATTATATGAACAAATTAATATTAAAAATAACTAGATGAGAAGTAAAGCTGTATATTTTGTTACTGTATATTTTGTTACAATGTTTATACTGCTAACTCTAATCAAACCAGTGTGGTTTGGAATATCTTCTCTGCAGAAATACTTCATTGAAAGCTATCCACAAAGTTCTCAAATAAAACATCATCATGACTGGCTTTGTTCCCACGAGTGCCAGTACAAAACTGTTCACTTGACAGTGACAGGGAACTAATTTTATGGTAATGATTCCTCATATTTAAGAGGTTGTGTTCTGACTTCTTTTGCTGAAACAYAGAAGGTGGACTGGATTAGAGTTAATTAGTATTTCCTCCTAAATAGCTACTGTATTAAGGTCCTGTTCMAAATTAATTCCTCATTTAACTGTTAATTTGATCTTAAAAGTATCAACACATTAAAAATTTCAGCTTTCCAGTTATATTGTTCTGTACTGCAGAACTGTATGCCTTTAGGGCAAGAGCTAAAGCTAACTGAAATTAATTAAATCTTTCCACTGACTTCAGTGTGTCTTTGAATAACTGTTTTTAGTACTTAATTTGTTCTCATAATAAAATGTAAGGTTATATACAATAGGATACTCAAGTTCCATAGACTAATCAAGACTAGTCTTTACTAATTGCTATACAAGTGTATTTTAAAATTATTTTTAAAAGTATTTGTTATTTTTTTTTAATTCCTGTTTTTAAAGCAGGATTTAATGCGTTACTTAAGCTACATCCTAAGAGTTCAGGATATACTTTGTAGCCATATTGAGGAATGCATGGTTTAATTAAACAAATTTTACAAAAGATGAAGTTGTTCAAAAGCATTGTAAATATTGTTTAAACAAATGCTCCAGACTAGTTGATTAGGCTCCAGGAAGTGAATATCTTAAGACCTTGGTTTCAACTCTGAGTTATGTTACCAACTGTTAGAAAAGTTTGGGTTTTTCCCCCGTGTGTAGCACTGTGATTGCAGTGTTTAATGCTCAATATGTGATATGGAACACTCTTCTGTTCTGCCCTACTTCACCTCAGCTCCTTGCCTGCCTCTCCTCTTCCTGGTGTGYATCTCATATTGCAGGCAAGACTGCAAAAGGAGATCAGTTCTCTTCTGTTTCTTTATTTTTTACAAAAAGTATTCCTCAAAAGAAGATGAGGAAAGGGCAGACAAACATTACATAATGGATTTGGAATCATTTTGTACAAGAACTGCATTTGTAAGATCTTTTTATGATTTTATTGGGGTGGGGGTTTTGATTACAGGGAAAGGAGCTGTTCATGACCGAAGAAGAGAGGCAGAGAGAAGCACGTCTGCGTGAGCAAGAACGCCAGGAGTTAATGCACCAGAAGCGCCTTGCGCTGGAGACGAACAAAATCCTCAAAGAGCAGCAAGAGAAAGAGAGATTGTAAGGCCTCTGCATAGGAGAGTGAAAAACTTAGCTTGGATTTGGAAAGGGTTTGGAGGATTAGGGTAGTTTATGAGGAGGTACTCAACTGAGATTGACTTGACTAAGCAAAAATCATTTAAATGCATTTCTTTAACTGAGGAAACACTTTGTTTCCCAACTGTCATTCTCCTATAGTTTAATGAAATATTTTCTTGATGCCCCTGCTGCATATTTTACTGTCTTTGGCAGGACAGTCACAATTTCATACTTTGACAATAATGTGCTACACAACTGTCTCAGAAGAGAAGAATGACTTAAATAGATGGTGTGCTCTTGTTATTCAAATGGTCAGGAATGTGTTTTAGGCTCTAAGGAAGTATGTTGAACCCTTGATATCGTCTAAGTTTGTATAAAGGAGCTGGAAGCTCATCATTAATTATTCCTTGGTGCTGCAAGCTTCTCATTAATTTTTTCTGCAGTGCATACGTACTTCCTGAACATGTTGTATCAGCTGTGTCCTGACACTTTTTGTGCAAGCTTTTACTATTTTTATCGTGCTGTTCTGATTTCTTTTATTACAGAAGAAAACTGGAGATTTCCCAGAAGGCTGCAGAGGAAGAAGAAAGATATCGCAGAGAAATAGAGCAGTAAGTAACAAGTTACATATGCAATTTAGTGTTCTAAAAAAGGCACTTACGTATTAAAACTAGTTGAAAACATTCTGCATGTTTTCAATTAAAATCATCCATGTTCTGTTTAGCTAAATGTGGGATTCAGTAAATATGCATGAGTACCTCTAGGTTTGTGCACAGGAAGCTGACCTGAAAACCAGCCCTTGGAAGCACATGAGGGTTATGGTAGTGATAAACTCAGCAAGAACTGCAAGTTGAGCACTTCATTAAAATCTGCTCTATAAATACATGGAGAAACTTCAGAACAAGGAACTCCTGTGTCTCAGAACTTATTTACTCTGGTGCCACCTCTTTGTAAGGTGCAAAAGGGATGTGTTCCCCAACTGCCATGAAAAACAACAGAACAAAACAAAAACCTTCTGAGAATCCTGTTATGACAGGATCACACACACACACGAGCGCGCACACGCACACACACACACACACACACACACACGAATTCTTACACATTTTTCTTTTCCAATTGCTGAGGAACAGAAAACATTCTGTTCTTTGTTGTGGAATGCTATAGAAATTCCTGCAATAGCAGTGGAAAGATGTAAAAGCAGACCATTCCAAGTGAGGAATGATTCCACTTTTAAAATCCAGGTTGCCTATCTCTTTGCTTTAATGAATGTTTGATATCCCCAGTATCTTTCTGAACGTAAATGCATTTTTATTCCCTTAGTGAGACTTAAATGATTAGGCTTTCTCTGGCAATGCTCTCTGTAGTGTCTAGCACTTCTTTATATTTCCTTGCATAATTTCAAAGTGCTACTGAGACAAATGTCAAGTATTTCAGTAACACAACACCAATTAAATAAATCAGYCTTAGCTTCAATGGTGAAGGGGAGAAGTATGGCAGTATAGGAATTTACATACTGTAAAGCTTAGATTTAGCTTAAATGAAAGTTGCAGGCAGCTTCATTAGAATATGCTGCTTTCTTGTATTAACATTTGTGGATGACCCTTTGAACGTTAAGTAATTATAATGTATATTATAATGTAATTATGATGAATTTATATCAGTCATGTTATTTTTGTACTCAGAATTCTTAAGTACCTTTTTTTTCCCCTATAGGATAACAGCTGAGGAAGAGAAGTTTAAAAAAGAGTGGGAAGAAGACTGGGGACCTAAAAAGCCTCCCAAATCTCTAAAAACAGTAACGGCAGAAGTGCACCCTGACCCTTCTTCTAAACACAAAAGTAAGTAATTGATTTCAACCTGCTTGCTGTGGAAAGTATTTGTTTCAGACAGAACATCACTGAGCTGYAGGGAATATATCACTAGCTCATATCCAAGCCAGGCTAGTTTTGCCATGGTTTCTGATGAGTGCGACTTTTCTTGTATGTGAGATCCTGCATCTACTCAAGGCATGAAGAGATACAAGCAGAACTTCTGAACAAGGTCCCAGTGATGAAATTGTTTGAGAAAGCTCAGCACGCTTGCAAAAACCTGAAAAATTCAGGCCTGTGTCCATAAGCTGATATGTGCAGATGTTCTCTTAGTAACTTGAATAACAGATCAACCATTAGAGTGAGGAGAACAAAAATSCTTTTTCTAATATGGATTTCCTAACAATTTTAAAGCATATCTTCTTTAGTCTTTGKTTTTCTACTGCCCTGCTTCCCAAGTTGCTTTTTTTTCTTCCCTCCCCTGTCCTTTTTTCTCTCTAATTTTTTTTCCTTCTCTATTCTCATCCATTCTGCATTGCAGTGAGAATTTACCCCCAAGTCTGCAGTCCGCACAGCCTGAAGACTCCTTTCTGTCATTGGGCAGTCTGCTTCAGAATCCATTTGGAGACCGAGGAGTCTCCAAATTCCTCCATTTATGYGTTGTACTTTTTTTTTCCACAAGGAATTACCCTTAAGTGCAAATCTGATGCAGCTCCCTAAAGCAATTTAACATGCCTTCAGCTTTCTTGGCAATTAAGAAGCTAAATTGGGAGCTATAGCTATAATATGTGAAAAGTGTCCTAAAATGGTTCCAGGCAAAGCAAAAAAGAGAAAGTGCTTGCAGAGCAGTATATGGCTTAGGGGAGAYCTGGGTTGGTTTCAGATTAGAGTATTTTTTTGTGACTTTGGACAAGTCACCAACTTATTTATGGGTGAGAGCTGAGATGAGGAAATGCTTTTTCTACTACCTTGTCTCATATCAATTTAGTTTTCTGACTTTTTTCAGAACCTTTTTTTTTTTTTTTCTGTATTGTTCTTGACAAAGTGACAACATGGTAGAGTTTGGTGTTTCTTTTGGAAGTCAGATATCCCAGAATTACGGACAGTTAAATTATGAGAAAAGCCATGTGCCTGATCCAGGCTCTTCTTGAGGGTTAAGGGAAGGTTCAGGAACTGATACGTGAAAGCTGAGTTTTTGTTCAATTATGTGAAAAATACCACATTATTAACTTATTTAATGCAGGTTCCTTCTTGCACAGTAGTGAACTCTCTCTATTTTGTTAGAGCCTCCAGTTACACTATCATTTCTGTCTCCTCATTCCTTTTCTCCTTTGTTACTCTAGAAGATTTAAAGGGAATTGCATATGACCAACTTGCAGCAGATGAAATGGATGAAGGGATCATGAAGCAGGATAAACAGGTTTGCTGCTCAGCCTTAACTTCCTATCATGATTCAGATTCTTCCTGTCTTTCACTTCCTCCTGACAGTCAGTTTTGACACTGAACTAATAATTTGGTTTCCCAGGGCAGTATCTGTGGTTCTTGGCTAAATGATGAATGGTTTCAACATTGTTGAGAACACTGCTTTTTATAGACTTCTTGACATGACTGTAAAACCTGTCAGTCCTACACAAAGGTTGAGAAACTTGTGTCATTGGTGTTTCTTATTTGAAATAATAATAAGGGATTCACAGATTCACAGATTCACACAGAATATTTAAGGTTGGAAGGGACCTCTACAGATCATCTAGTCCAACCTTCCTGCTCAAGCAGGCACACCTACAGCATGTGGCACAGGGTGGCATCCAGGCGGGTTTTGAAGACCTTCTTTTATGTATTTTTAATTAGCAGGATTTATATGTCTTGTCTCAAAACATTTCATCCAAGACAATGGAGCTTTTCATGTCTCTTAAATGTCACTGTCTTCTGCCACAAGCTTGAATGAAATTGAAAACTCGATTCTCATATAAGGAGGGTTGTTACAACTAAAATATAGTAGAATTGTGACCATGGATGTATGGTTTTGTACGAAGATTTATTGTGGTGCTTGCTTTGCTTAACATAAAATGTATATCAGTAAAATATGGACAATTCAAGACTAAATATCTACGGAACATTGATCAAAAAGTGATATAATAACTTTTTGTGTATTATCTGACTTTTTAGTTTTGCTTCTTCAAATAAATTTTCATCAATTATATGTATTGACATGGTTTGATCTGAACTTCACTTTTTTTCAACAAAAATCTTTAACTTTTTATAGCTTTTGGATGGTTTTATCGTTATGAAGGAAAATTTCCTACAATCCGCAAGGTACAAAGTTTGTTGGTGTGTAGATTAGTTTTGCTGTGTGTTGGAATATCAATTCCTTTTTTTTTTTCTCCTGTTTTTTTCTCCATTACTCCTAGATACTCCATAKAGTATAATCATTCTTCATTTGTCATAAAAAATTAAGATGGGATGCAACTGCTTAGAAACTGTCCATTTGAATACTTAAGAAGGCTTAATTCCTATCAGTTGCAGGGGGAATTGAGYGTGTCAATACTCTGCAGGTGATCTTCAGCACAGGTGGGCAACATTCTCCAAAAATTCTCAGAATAGTAGAAAAAAAGTATATAGAGACAAAAGTTGTAATTCTTGTTGAGAATTCCTGTTAAACTCTCCAGCCACCTGGGCTAGAAGACTGGAAAAGTATCTTTAATCTTAGTTTTTTCTAAAAGAAACTAGAAATTTACTTTTTAGAAATATTTTTAAAGTATGAAACTGATGACCTTTTTTTCTTTTATCCTACTTCAAATTGCAAATGAGTTTTTGTTAAAAAAAAAAACTGTACTAAAAAGTCTTTAATAGGAAGTAAACAGAATCCATGGGGAAAAGAGCGGGAAAATATGACTCATCCTAATGTATCTTAATACCGGGATACAGCTAGGATTGCCTGATACTTGTTCATATTCTGAAGTACTTTGGCTTAAGTAACACTCATGATTTAAGTTCACCAAACCATCAGAAAAAGTCAGTGGCTGATGAGATGAGCACAGCAAAATCCAACTGGAAACTTAACTTTTCTTTGCATTGACAACAATCCAGAGTGGCCTGTTGTTTCTCTCTGTTTTTCAGGATAGAAAGCAAAACATAAGCTTTTGAATATGAACTTGGCCTTGCAGCACTAACATGGGAGGGTAGAAGAAATGTGGCGTCAGTAAAAGTAGAAATAAGGAGCCAGTTATATTTCTAAAACAATAGGGACATAAATTTCAACAGAAAAATGTCTTCATGGTCTGTTTAAATTGCCCTGCAGGTGTAAAAATTTTAGGGCTGCTTACCTAGCAGATTTTATTGTGTAGAGTAGATTTGATTGTGTGGTTGCAGCTGGTGTGCTTTTTTCTTACCTAGGAGCACTTCAGTTTCTGCACAAAACTGCCTTTTCCTTGTGATTACTTGTTTCCTTTCTCTTATGGCATGTCCTGCTGTGTTTAGCATATACAAAGTGTGGAGATGTTTTACATGTAGAAACATCTACCTTATACATGAGCATCTGTTACCAGAAAACAATCAGTCTGTCATTTATGCAATAACGACAGAACAGAGAGGTGACAACCAATATTCAAAACTATTTGAATATTCAAACTATGTAATGGGCCAATGCATCCTAAAAAGAGAGATGAACTGTCTGGTGAACTATAGAGCTTAAGTCATGCTCTGTAGGCCTCCAAAAAAAGAGTGACTTTAATGCAAAATGCTGAGGAAATGTCTTTTAAAATTGCTATTAAAAGACCATCCTTATATATTTACACAGGCTATATTTAAGTTTCCAAGGCAGGTACTCATGTACCAACTTGAAGTTTGCCATGTTTTTAGCTGGTGTAAAAGTTTGAATAACTTTAGAAAAAAAAACTTCTCAGAAAGCAAAAGAACGAAAGAAAGCAAAAAGTGACAGTCTGTGTGAACAGAAGAAAAATAAAAAAGAAATGGAGTTTGAGCAAAAGCTTGCCAAGGAGAAAGAAGGAATGCTGGAAAAAGAAAAGCAATTGAAAATTAATCGTCTTGTTCAAGAGGTATGTTGTAATCTGCTATCAAATACGAAACAATATTTGCTATATAATTAGACATGTAACTTAAATATTTTTTAGAAGTATATATGTATACCTCTGCCAAGTCAAAACAGTTCAGAACAGTGTATTGGAAAAAAATCWATAAATTCTATTTAGGCCTCTATTAGAAACTCTGTTTGATATTTATGTGCTCTAAGGAGAGTGAGCTGAATGTTCAGAGCAAGTATCTTAGCAGGAAGTTCGCCTAATTGTGTAAAGGATAATGAAGCTTAAAAGAATCATTATTTTGTTGCTTTTTCTATGTCCGCTGTTTCTACAATTGACTTTTGGCAAAACTAGGATCTCTCTATATTTAATGAGCCTCTATGTTTAGTGATGAATATATGAAAGACAGTAAAATAGGAAGTCATTCCCAAAAGCATAATTTTAAAACTCAGATGACACCTCTAACTTTTGGGAAGTTATTTATATTGTAACTGTTTCTTTAACCTTTTTTTCACATTGGTGACATGATTAAGGTGTCCGAGACAGAACGAGAAGACTTGGAGGAATCAGAAAAGGTGCAGCATTGGGTGGAAAGGCTTTGTCAGACACGGTTAGAACAGATTTCCTCTGTGGAGAATGAATCTCCTGAGGTAAAATTCTGACTTTTCTATATATGATATCATCTCCAAATAACTTACTAGTTTTACCATCTATAAGTAACAGTTTTTGCAAGAAAGAACTTAGATTTTTTTTTTTTTCTTGTTGTTTATTTCTCCGGCTTCATTCCCAAAGGGTGAAAAGACCTGCCACTAGCCAACAACTAACAATCCACACATTTAAGTGGGATGATGGTATTTGATGAGGGTATCACTATTAGTGAATGCTTTTATTGTGTCCATATAATTGGATTATATTGATGAATTTGTTTGCTCCTGGATACCATTTGAGCTAGGTTGGACATAGTGGCTAAAACTGGGGCCAGAATAACCAGCTATATTTTTTAGTATCCTGTGCATATAARGTCATCATTGGTAATGAATTGAATGCTTCCTTGTTTATGGTTCTGTAGAATCATAAAGGGACAGCTATTATAACCCTTGCAAATATTCAAGAGAATGATAAACTCCCAAAGATGTTTCTTAATGATTGCCGCAGATGAAGATTGTTGCAGACAGTGATGAGTCTTAGAGCCAGATGGCTGTACATGTGGAGAGCAGCTTTCCCACCATCCTGCTGCTCGGGCTCTCCTCCAAGAACAGCTGCTTCCAGGAGAACAGTGTAATCTGCTGAACTCCCCTGGGATCACTGAGCAATTGCAACTGCAGAGGAGACCCTTGGGGAATGCTCCCTCTTGGATTTCCTTCAGGTCAATGTGGAACACCACTGAAAAAAACAGCTGGCCTTCTCTTCTTCCTGGAACCATGTGGCTTTTTAGTGCAAGTCTTTCAGGTCTCTAGGACAAGGAAATGATTATGGCAAGTTTTCTTTTACTGCCTAAATTGACCTGGCTCTGTCCTGCTATATCTTAGTCCCATTTATTGAGAAGCAAAAGGAAGCTGTTGTATTTCTAGACCTCTGCTCCGTTTCAAGACAGGTACTCCTTATTATACATCCTCTATAAATCCCTCTGCAAAGCTTCCCAAAACTGTAATCTCCAAGAGTGGTTTTACAGAGCCTTTCGGAGAAAGGTCTGTGCAGGAGAAGCTGAGAGCTTTCAGCCCAGGAGCAGTTAGGTGGTATGACGTGTCATGAATCCGAGAGGCCTCTTGCAGGCACAGGAGCTAGTAAGGCAAATCTCTGTTCTTTTGCACGTAGCTGGCAGGCGGACGCCCCTCTGCTTCCCCTTCTGCCACCTCAGTGCGGCAGTTTGCGGGTGGCCTGCAGCTTCATACCACCGATCTTGACGATATCAACTTAGACGAAGTCGAGAAGCCCAAACCACGTGTGGTGCCACCTCCGCCACCACCAGCCTCTGTTGCTCCAGCACCAGCAGCGCATTTGCTCTCTGCATCAAGTACTCCACTTGCAAGAGGGCCAAGCCCGTCAGCCTCGCCAGCTTCCCAGGTGACCCCACGGTCTCTTTGGATGCATGTGTGAACCCTGGCTTCCCTCCTCTGCTCCCTCACCTGCTTCACCTGCCCGTTTGTCTGTCACACAGAGCATTGAATGAAGGAATGAGCTGATTGCATTGTGTTGCATGGTAGAGAATGCAGTTCCATAAATAGTTTCAATTTATTTCTTCTTTATTCATGGGTTTTGCTCACTCCTCACTGCTTGCGTTTGCCAACCTACAACATGCAAGTATCAGATGCAGGGTGTATTTGTTAAAAAATAAAATGGACTAGTCCACTAGACATGTAGCAAACCTGCACAATACTTAAAA